ATACATATATGTGTGGGGGGGGGGGTTATGAGCTTTCGTGTAACTTTAATTTTTTTAAAAAAAAAAATTTTTATCACATGGACAAAAAGTCATCTATGTGTTTTTTTTTTTTTTTTTTTTTTGGCGACAGGTTCTCTTTATTTAGACATCCAGGATGTCTCCCCTGTACTCTGCTGGATGTAATGCAGTGCACATCGCACTGCATTGCATTCTTTCCTGGCCTCGATGGCCAGGAAATCTGTCAACGGGGACCCATAAGTGACGTCACAGCACTTCCGGGTCAGGACAAGAAGGGGAGGGGAGTGGATGTGCCAGCTTTCCTCCCTCCCCTATACCCACTGGTACCCACTGAATTGGTCCCGGGCCCACAGATGGGAAAGTGGAGCCCGCGAGACATAGGGGACGGGGGGAGTGGAGGCTGGCACCATAGTGGGCTGTGTGGAAGCAGCCGCTCAAATGCTTCCACCTAACAGATGAGCCCTGCTGCTTACCCGCAGCAGGGCTAAAGGTTAAAAAAAACTACCTGCCCGGCGCCCGGAACTACATGTCGCGGGCATCGGGCGATATAAATTGAACATCCCTGGTTCTGTGTTTTCATAAAGACACACAGAACATGGCTCAGCCCCACCCACCAGTTCCTCCTCACTGGTTCTGATTGACCAATGGCTCCCGCTGCTGTGTCTGAGTCAATGAGGAGGCAGAGAGCTAGGACAGCAGCAGCTGTAATGCACATCGCTGGATATTGATCGGGCTGAGGTATGTGTTTAGGGGGGGTTGGGGGAAAGCTGCATACTGAAGGTTTTTTTTTTTTTTTCATGAAGGTAAAAAAAACCTTCAGCCTTTACAACCACTTTAAGTTCAAATCTAGCCTAAATGTTTTTGTTTTGAATAGAGAGGGAATAGGTTAGAACTTCTGTCAGATTATCACTGCCAGTGAGCCTGTTGGATAGATCATCTTTTTTTTTAAATCCGTTACACCAGAAAGACAAAGCCAACAAAATAAGTCTCAAATAGGTTCTACCTTTGTTATATTCTAAAGAAAGAAATGTTGCTATCTTTGTCCCCCATTAACTATGTTCCATAAAAGGACGTACCTGTATGTCCTTGGGTTTAAGTGGGTATACCACCAATTTTCTGCCAGGAGGTTTTTTTTTTTTTTTTTTTTTTTGTAAAAGTGATTCAATCCCCCTCCTTTCTGCCGTTGTTCTCGGACTCTCCCATCCCCCCCATTCCCCAAACTTCTTGTATGAACCTGGAAGCAATAGGATTTCATCACTTCATATTTCAGTTGTTTGTTTGCTAGCCAATAAACCACTGCGCAAATATCGTGTGACAAAATAATTGCAACCACAACCATTTCATTCTCCATGGCCTTTGCTTTTTTGTTTGATATTCAGCAATATATAATGTTTGGGGTTCTAAGTAACATTCTAGCAAATAATTTTGGTTTTCTCATGCATGTAAAAAATGTCAGAATTTCCTTGTGCAGCAATTGGTTAATAAGATTTCCATTGTTTCCTGTTATTCTCAATCCCTGTCAATGGCATAGGAATGAGGAAAATTATTCCCAGTTGGGACAGAGCAAAATTTTTTAAATAAAACTCTATGGAACAAAAACTGTTTGTCAATTTAGGATGCCTTTTATGGCCTTTCCTTGATAAAATACTAGTTTCATTTCTATCCATCCTAACCAGTGGCTTTAATACTTTGAAATCTAGAACAAATATGCTTTTTTTTATGTTCATCATATGAGTACTTGTATTGGTTCAGTTATTCTGAATGTAAAGTAAGTTCCTGGTATTTATAGAATAAGTAACACTATATTGCTGGTATGGCAGGTTCTCCTTAAAAGTAAAAAAAAAACTAAAAACTTGACGCCCCTTTGTTCCTACCAAAGAAAATCATGCTTTTAAATAGGAAAAAAGTTAAAGCGAAGCTCCAGCTGTGTTTGTGTTTATTAAGTCAGCAGCTACAAGAATTGTAGCTGCTGACTTTTAATAAACACACACTTACCTGTCCCAGGGTCCAGCAATGTACTCATCCGCACCATTCCTTCTCCCCTTCTCTCCTCCACGGTGCCAGTACCTCTACTGTGTGCACCAGGCTGTGACAGCTTGCAGCTTCATAGCCTGGTGCCCATTGCGCATGCACGAGTCGCGCTGCGCCTCGTAATTGGTCCGGCAGTGTTCTGGAACCTGTGAAAGTGCCTGTAGGGAAGAGAGTGGCCGAATTTCCGGCTCACTGGTCAGCGGCGAACTGAGTCGGAAGTGGGAGCAGGTATCCGTCAAAAACAGGTATTCGCTCCCCCCCAAAAGGTGCCAAATGTGGTGGGGAGGGAGGCAAATAAGGGGAGCTTCCGCTTTTGAGTGGAACTCCACTTTAAGGTATAACTAAAGGCAAAACCTTTTTTTTTTTTTTTTTTTTTTTTTAGTTTTGGATAGAGTGGAGAGGGATTAGAACACTTGTCGGTTTTTTATTGCTGTCTGTTCCCGTTAGTGAGATTCACCCTCTCTTGTTTGTCCTACTTACCATCATATCATTGAACGTGAATGTAAAGGCAAACCAAAATTTTGGGTTGTCCCAAGAAAAATAATAGAGGGGAAATCTTCCAATGGGGCACTAGTTCTGGGGGCACCCAAGATATTCTCTTAATTTGCAGGGATTTCCTCACACTTCCTGTTTTGGCTATGGGACAGTAAGTGGTGGTAAATATCCTGAATTCTCAAAAATGGTGAAAATAAACCTTACAGATGTATCCAAAAAAAAAATTTGCCTATAATTCTACTTGAATAGGAAGGTGGACACATATAAAGCCAGGATTAGAGGTTCTAGGCCTGTAAAGGAATAAAGTCTAATCTGCTTTATTTCTATGGGAAAGCAATAAAGGAAAATTAGAAATTATCTTCCTGCATAGAGCTAATAAATAACAATTGTTTTGTAAGTTTTACATTGCGTTTTTTGTGAAATGGTGAGAATTGAAGGTACGCAAAACTGTAAATATGCAATTTACTCTAACAATCTGGAGATTATCATTTTTCACTTGCAGCTTTCAGAGTTTGTAAAAAAAAAACCTTTCAAACCATATATTATTTGAAAGTATAGTACCAGTAGAATAAAAGAAGGTGCTACTGATATTTTAGGTCTTGTAATATTTGCTGAAATGTTTGTCAAAATTATATTTTTGGTAAAAATACACTAAAATCATTGAGCACGCATAAACACAACATAACTTACAAAATTGCGGCTAAATTCTTACTAAGGAATTGTTTACATGGGGCATAGGTACTAAAGGGTATGTCTGTGAAGGGCTGGCATACACAGGTGTTCCAGTGTTCCATGCCTCTCCATGCAGGCAGTCTCATTTGTGGCACAGTGGCTGCATGGCCCTGAATACAGACAATGTGAGTTCAGGGACGTGTACCAACACAGATGTCAAATTGAGAGCAGTGGCTGTGTCCGGCAGCCCCTGTATCCCAGTTAACATAAATGGAAATGCCTGCACAGGGATGCACAGGCCACCTATAGTATATATCCTCATGTGACTAAACATGGCCTTCCACAGGCGTACACTTTGGTACTCCCCATGTATTTGTGCCTAAACACTTGCTGGTTCCTGGAATGTTATGGTACCTTTCAAATCTGCAGTGCAGACACCCAGACATGTTTTCAGTTTCACTAAAACCTATTGGCCTGTTTTTATTTGGCTATTATTCTCCTGTGGGTCACAGGACTGCACTTAGTTTTGCAAGCCTATGACCCAGATTGAGCCGACAGTGGTGACTGTCAGCCACTGCTTTTTGCTCAGAACAGACCCAAGAACTGAGCAATCAGAGGTCTTTGATCACTCAGTTCTCAGTGTAGAGCCAGCGGGGAACATCTGCAGCTGAGATGGATGCTGCTGTCATGTAGGTGAGTATTCATTTTTTTTTTTTTTTTTTTTTTTCCCCCACACTTATAATTTTAATTAGCCTCACCAATAGTGGTGTACTGCAGGCTTCTATTTCTTGGTCTCCTTTAGCTGTCACTTTCCAAGGGTTTTCTGGTATATTTTGATTATCCCTTCTTTTTTTTTTCTTTTTTTTTTCCCACTACTGGATGCATCTTAAAAATGCTTAAAGGGTAACTCCACTTGTAAGGGAAAAAATATAGTTTATACAATTGCAGCACAAGTTGTATTGTAATTGAATATTATTAAAAATGACCTTTCCTTTTCAATCTGCAGCTCTGTAATTTTCTCTAAAATGCAATGTAATATGGCTACCTGGAGGCATTTTGAACGCAGATGCTGTACAGAACCTCCAGAAATGTAATTTCCTGCTTGTGTGATTGGCTTACTGATTTCCCAGAAGTCCACACTAAGATACAAGTCAGATTTTTGTCATCCCCTGCAGCAAAAATGTCATTTTAAGTGAGATACTCCCAAAGTGAAATCGCATCTTACAGGATGCAGACCCTGTGGTTTTCCTCATTAGAGCCCTGCAGGTGCAGCAGCTGATTGATTATTATTAAGCCACTCCAATACAGATTCACTCTGCACATGGACACAGAAAAACGGCTAAATGTTCAGAATAACAAAAGGTAGGAATCTGCAACAAAGTTTGTTAAAATCCTTGCAATGTACATAGATCACCCTGAGGGGAATGTTTTCTTGTCAGCAAAAGTAGACTTACTCTTCAAGCTCTTCCATCATTTTCTCCTGTCTTTGCAAGTGTATTTGAAGAGCAGCCATTGCCTCTATAATGGAGGGGTCATCCATTTTTTTTTTTTTCTCTGCCACTTAGGGAAAGAGACTATACCCTGGTATCTATAGTTTTTCTTTATGTACTGAAAAGGATTTTATGGTAACTTAACAACCTTTTTGTTAATTAGACCAAACAATATTTTTTGAACAAGGTATATACTAACTAAGTTGATTGAAAAAAATCAAGACCTTGTCAACATATTTTTAATGTTCACTATTGCCTTTTGTAGGTATCCGACCACCAATCCTTAATGGTCCTATGCCAGTCCGTCCTTTAGTGGCTCTTTTGGATGGAAGAGACTGCACAGTTGAAATGCCTATATTAAAGGATGTTGCTACAGTGGCATTCTGTGATGCTCAATCTACACAAGAAATTCATGAGAAGGTAATGGTTTTTTCCTTCTTTATTTCAGGTTTTTTTTTTTTTTTTTTACTGATGAAATAAAAACTTTTCTGGTTTCACTGGTTTTTGTGCCTTGCTGTTAAAATTAGGACACATTGGGCTTCATTCACCAAAGCATATGTCATATCACCTAAATACCGCATTTAGATGATATGACACATTTTCACCAAATCTCACATGCGATGCTGATGCAGTAGTTACCTTGAAAAACATAAACGCTTTGTAAATACTGCATAAGACAGCATTAAAGTCAGTTCTCTAAAGGAAATAAATATATGCACGTTAAATAAGTAGTGGTCCAGGTATGCAATATTGAAGGAATATAATTTTGGAGTAGTAGTCTCAACAGTAATACATAGAAGTCAAAATATGGATAAAAACACAGAAATGTTATATTTAGTGAAATATATTTCTTTTCTGCTGTCATTTCACCAGATTTTCAGATTTTTTTGTGTATATACAAGCATATACATAATTTGCTGCATAAGCCTCCCAATCACTTTAGATATAACACAATGTACATGCACATCAAAATGGTCGAATCCCTTGTTAGAACATATGTAGTGGGATTACTTTAATTTTTTCACAAATCTCTTTAGAGATCTCTTTGGTGAGAATTTTCGCAAGACTGAGTCGGATTAGGAATAGACAAGTATTCTTACAAAGGTGTGGAACTTGATCTGTTAGGAGAGGGGTGTTATCAATTTGAAGGTTTGGCAGATGGGTACCAGAGTGAGACTTTGAAGAACATCAGAGAATGACATTAGGGGAGATTTACTAAGCCTGGGTTCACATTGAATAGGACTTTGAAATTGTGCTACTTCACTTGAAGTCGCATTTCAAAGTCAGATGTCTGCGACTTCAGGTGTGACTTATAAGACATCTGTGTGACTTCATGCACAGCTGTCTATGCAAGGCGCACCTGAAATTGCCAAATATTGTGCAGGAACTACTTTTCAAATCTATGCAACTCTGGCTACATCAAAGTTGCACCAATTAGAGTGGTTCCATTGCCAATCATTGGGTGCGACTTAAAACTGAAGTACAGAGAATCTGGTGCAGCTGTGCATAGTAACCAGCTACTAGGTGTTATTGTCAAAGTTTCATTGAACTAGCTGAATTTAGAAGCTGGTTACTAGGAACAGCTTCACCAGATTCTCTCTGACTCCAGTTTTCGTAAATCTCCCCCAGTGGCTATACTTTAGCAAGACAAAACAGACCAAAGATATAGTAATGAATTTTGCCAAATATCACAGCATAAACTATTTTAAATTGTAACTAAAGGAAAAACTTTTTTTTTTTTCCATTTTGGATAGAGTAAGGGAGGGTTAGAACCTCCTATCCGTTTTTTTTTTTTTGTTTTTTGTAATCTGTTTCTCATGGGGAAAATTTTCCCTCCGTTAGTATTCCAGTGTCAACCCAAAATGTGGGATTTTTTTTACCTTTCACTTTCAATGATGAGAAACAGAAATAGAAAAGAGTGACTCTTTTTAACAGGAGCACAGACATCAATAAGAACTGACAGGTGTTCCAACCCTCCTCTGCTGTATCCATCCCAGTGGACATGATGTCATGCAATAAAATACAGATTGGTTTCATGAGATAAATGCCTCAGATCTTGATGAAGTATGCCATTCCTTATTTTACGAGCATTTGTTAGTGAATTACAAAAAATTATTTTGAAAACCGATATTCTGTATTTTACCACCGATTTTAAAGCTGTAGGTACTGCTTCATGAATAAGTCCAATAAGGCTAAGTTTAGACGTGTGGTTGGGGGGCAGTTAAAATGCATGGCTAACTATTTCAGTTGTTAGGTGCATTTGGGTTCGGCTCTTCCTTTTTGACTCTATTGCGGGCTCTGTATTGTAATCCCTAAGCCCAGGTCTCTATTCGTGGATATAAATCAGCTCCTCTGTCTATTGGGAGAGGTACTAGACAGGGTTGCCCCCTTTCCCCTTTACTTTTTGCATTCGCAATGGAACCACTTGCTATAGCTATTCGTTTTGACCCTGCTATCTCTGGTATCTACTGTGGCCAACAAGATCATAAATGTGCCTTATTTGCTGATGATGTCCTTTTATATATGTGTTTGCTCCTTGAGTGTCTTTACCTAGTCTGCTCAATTTACTTCACCGATTTTCTATGGCCTCAGGTCTTACTTGAATTCCTCTAAAACAACTGCTTTAAATATTTCTTTACCCACATAGGAAGTTCAATATCTTCAGGACAACTTCAGTTTTCAGTGGGCCCCTCGCTCTCTTCCCTATTTGGGGATCCATCTCACGAGCTCTATTTCAACGCTATATCGTGCTAACTATCCTCTTTTTAAACGACTCAAGACCGATTTACATAATTTTGCAGATCTCCCTTTTATCCTGGTTTGGTAGAATCAATTCCGTTAAAATGACGTTTCTGCCAAGACTGCTATATTATTGTCGGAATTTGCCGGTTGCGGTCCCCAGACGGGAAATCTTACTCTTACAATCTGCTCTGTCTAGATTTATATGGGAGGCAAATGTCCTCAGATCAATAATTCAAATTTATTTTCTCATAAAAAGCATGGCGGTATGGGACTTCCCAATCTTATGACTTATTTTCATGCGGCTCAGCGCAGCTCTCTTACACTACAGCTAGGGGCTATGTACCTCAATGGGGTGGCATTGAGGCCCTATCTTGTTATCCGTATGCTGTTGGCTCCCTTATGTGGCTTTCCAGTCGGTTGCGTCTTCTTATCCTCTGCCCTACATTATCATATTCTTTAACGATCTGGGAAAGATGGCAGGCCTGCAAGCCTTTGTTGTTATTATTATTATTATACAGGATTTATATAGCACCAACAGTTTGCGCAGTGCTTTACAATATAAGGGAGACAGTACAATTACAATACATTTCAGTACAGAAGGAATAGGAGGGCCCTGCTCGTGGAGCTTACAATCTAAATTTTCCCTACATACCCCTCTGGCCCCAGTCTTTTGTAATCCTGGTTTAATACCATCTGTGTTTCACTGGTGGATCAATAAGGGCTTTTTGCGTATCGGGGATTATTTAGAAGGACATCTTCCATATTCTTTCCAATATTTTCAGGCAAAATGCCACCTGCCTTCTAGAGAATTGTTTCACTATAATCAAATCATGTTTTTTTATCACTAGCAAGCTTAAATTACTGACGGAACCCTGTACGCTCACCTCTCTCGAGGTCTTCTGTGGGGCTACGGGGATGGTGAAAGGTAGTCTATTAATATATATGCTTCCCTTGTTGATCCAAATATTAAGCTCTCTTATATGATGCACTGGGAAATGGATTTAAATATTTCTCCGGAGTTAGACACTCCGGAGAATACGGAATACGGCTGATGCTTTATCTAAAATCTCAATTAACACTACAATCATTGAATCTAACTACAAAACGCTTCTTCGGTGGTATTTGGTCCCTACACGTCTTGCTAAAATTTACCCTTCTGTGTCACCCATCTGTTTTTGAGATTGTGGACAGGAGGGTACTATGCTCCACATATGGTGGAAATGCCCTGTGGTGACTAGGTTTTGGATCTGTTTATTTAATTTCCTTTACTCTGTAACAGGGGTTAATATTCGTAGATCCCCTGAAATAGCTCTATTTCATTTATTGCAAACTGATATTCCTAATAAATCGGTTAAATTGATACTTTATATCCTGTTGGTGGCGAGAGTTACGATAGACAAACATTGGAAACGGTCAGCAATCTCGCTGGACTTAGTCAAACAGAAACTTAATTAGATTATGATTAATGATAAACTTACTAGTATACTTAATAACAATACTTCTAAATTTGAGAGCACTTGGGACCCATGGATTCGGTATATTTCTGTTACTTAACAGACTCTTGGCTGGCCCTCTCTATTTCTTTTCAGGGTTTTATTCTTTACTTTTCTTCCTCAGTTCTTTCCTCACTTTTCGTTCTCTCTTTGTCTACTATTTTAATGATATGTGTACCACTTTGTTTATGGTGCAATTTGCTCATAATCGATCAAAATCTGAATGTGCTACCAGTGTATTCCTCTCATTATGCATTATTGGTCGATTTTGTTGAAGTGTTGCCACACATTGTACTTGAATATACTGCTTCATTGCTTGATGTTCTACAACTCATCATGTTGGTGTGTTGCATTTCCTGTCTTTCTGTATAATGTTTCTAAAAATTCTTAAAAAATATATTGAAATATAAAATGCATGGTTAACCCCTTCACGCCTAAGGATAAAACAAATCTTAACGGCTAAGCACAATTTTGCAACATTGACATGTGTTAGTAAAACCATACATATCATCACAACTACTTTGTACATCCAGGTGGATTATACCGCGTTTTTTTTTTCAGGACAAATTGGGCTTTCATCTGGTGGTAAATGGTAATGGATATCTCCCTGATTTTTTTATTTATTTCTTTTCTTTTCATTATCAAATGAAAACTGACCCAAAATAGTAAAAAAAAAAAAAAAAAAAAATATATATATATATATATATATATATATATATATATATATATATATATATATATATATGTTTTTTTTTTTTTAATTTAGTTGTGTTTCTTGTTTTTACCATAAGATACCACCAAAGAACAACCCAATATAAATTTTCCAGCTCTTGACAATCGCAGTGATGCCATATATGTGTATGTTTGTTGTTTGTACCCACAATACAGCCCAGAAACAATAGTGCGCATTTTTTTTTTTTCTTTCACCTAAAACACACTGACACACCAATTAAAAAAAAAAAAAAAAAAAAAAATTCTGACCTTGACCCAAACACTTACCCTGGCACTGAACTAGATCAAACCTTGATCTAGGTATTTTTTCTTTATTTTTATTTTATTTTTTAATATATATATAATTTTTTTTTTTTTTAACAGGTTTTTTTTTCCCCCCTCTTTGCAAGGAGAGAGATACATTGTATCTTCATTCATAGAGGGAGCACAAAGACAGGTATGCAAATATGCAGCCTCACTGAAAAAAGCCTAGTTCTGTGAGGCCGCATATTTGTGTTACATCGGCGTGAAGGGGTTAAGCTCCGTTAGCCTGTAAATGGCAGCTGACCAAAGTAAGGTGTTTACATATGCTTTGCGTCTGTGGCAAAATCTATCCAACAAGTGACCGGCGGTTGAGAAGCCTGCCGAACAGGGAAGTACCGCAAATGCCCCTCAACTGCGTGCAAAGCATGCAATTGGGGTGCATTTTTTATTTGTCAAAATCGGAGTTAAAACAGGCAGTGAGGAGGCATCACAATACCTCCTCACTGCCTGTCAGTTGCCTCCAAAAGCAGATCGCTCTACAGAGGAGTGACGAATTTAGACCTGTGTTTTTAAATCCAGTCCAAATGTTTTTTTTTCTAGGACTTTCTGTGTGCAGTACATTTACAATATCTTGCCCTAACCATTTATAGCACTTTAATAACAATTCTCCCCAAGAGAACCACATTCACACTTAGAATTTTGTTTGTTTTTGACCATAGTGATGAACAATTTGAAGGAGCAGAATGGAAAAATTCTCTTGAACAAAGTTGTATTACCAGCTTTACTTGTGTTACCAGCTAGTAGGCTGTATCTACTGTGACTTCAGTAGTTTTACTGTTCTTTACTACAGAGCATTTAAATCGTAGCCCACGTCGCAATAACTATTTATGCTGGCTAAATGAGACTCGCCACTAGGGTAATAACACTAATGTAATTATCCATGCTTTGAAGTTTTGTTTTCTGTAACCAGTGTTTTCTCCGCCACACATTATTTTGCTATAGGTATTAAGTGAAGCTGTGGGAGCCCTTATGTATCACACAATTTCCCTATCTCGAGAAGACTTGGAGAAATTCAAGGCGCTTCGTATCATCATAAGGATTGGCAGCGGTTATGATAATATTGATATAAAATCTGCAGCTGAATTAGGTAAATTGGAAGTATTTGGGTTTTTTTCTTGTATAGTTGTAGAAGACTAATGATACTGATTATGTCATTTTTTTTTTTTTTTTCCCCTTATATTAGGGATTGCAGTTTGCAATGTTCCCTCATCCTCAGTAGAAGAGACAGCTGATTCAACACTCTGCCACATTCTGAACCTATACCGAAGGGTCACATGGCTGCACCAAGCTATGAGGGAGGGGAACCGAGCAGCCAGTGTGGAACAAATTAGAGAGGTTGCTGGTGGGGCTGCCAGAATTCGTGGGGAGACTTTAGGCATCATTGGACTTGGTAAACCTCAGCATAATACAAACATATGGGACATTTGTTATAAATAATGACTTTTTATGGCCTATTGGTTTGTAGGTCGGGTTGGACAAGCTGTTGCTCTGCGGGCAAAAGCATTTGGATTTACTGTCATATTTTATGATCCCTATCTTCCGGATGGAGTTGAGCGTTCTCTAGGCCTGCAGAGAATGGGAACTCTTCAGGAACTGCTAATGCACAGTGACTGCATTACACTTCACTGCAGTCTGAATGAGCACAACCATCACCTCATTAATGATTTCACCATAAAACAGGTATGCTACCTTTTTTGTTTTCAGAGCATCTTTTTAAGGTTTTTGTTTATGCTTGAGAAATGAACACTTTTTGAAATATGTGACATTTAAGAGATTAGCATAATTTGCAAACAATCTTGCAAGATTATGGAGATTTCAGAATTACAAAACTGGTGCAGTGGTTTCTCTTGAATAGAAAAGCTGCAAAACATGTCAGATTTAAACAGTTTCTTTTTTTACAGTCGTATTTATCCCATGGCTACTGGACGTCCTGCCGTTAACGTCTACATTTTGTAAACCATTGAAGCAATTACCAAGTTCAGAATCGCCCATGAATTATCATCATCTAATGAAACCCTACATTATCTTAAAATGGAGAAATTTTATGGTGCAACCTGTAGACATAAGTATATCAAATAGGAGTAATATAATAAAATAAAGGCAGTAAGGAAAACGGTTAAGAGCAAATTTCAGTTGAACAGGAGCCAACTTGTTACTTTTTTTTGTCTGTGTTATGATATAATACAAGTATATTCCTTGAGGCTTGTTTTCAGTGAAAACCGCAGTACAGAATTGTCTTTTCAGTGTATTATGGGGATTACGGCAAGACATGAAGTCTTGGGCAGTTACACATTACAAAGTAAAAGTGCACTAACTCATTGCAACCATTCATTTTTCAAAATAACCCAAGTAAGAACAGTGGAAGACTAAATCGTATTTGCTGTTCTCAGTTACTGTGTTTTTGTCCTAGTGGTTTAGTCTGGTAATCTTGACATCTTGTTCAAGCTTTGCTTTCTGCGAGAAGCCCCTTTTTTTGTTGGTGAAATTACGGAATATAAATCCTTTCTAATCTAAAATCCCTTTTTGAAGTACTACTCGCACGCACACAAAAACTTTTAAATGTTCATTCATTCAGAAGACCGTTTTTGATCACTCTTGGTGGCCAGTGTAGACAATGGAGGTTAACCCTTTACACTGCATTAATTTTAAAGGCCATCACAGTACTTTAGTATTTTAGTTCGGCAGTTGTTTTCAAAGTGTTTGGTTATAGATATACTGATATAATTTAATGTTTGCAAAATATTCCCTTGAATCTTTTTAATATTTTAATGCTATTTTAAGGTCCTCACAATAAAAATTCATATGGATTTCTCTGCTTGCTCAATCATTTTGTTGCGTTTTTTTTTTTTTTTTTTTTCTTACATTTGCTTTTTTTGTACATTTTTATGCAGATTAGGCAGGGTTGCTTCTTGGTAAACACAGCTCAATCATTTTGTTGCGGTTTTTTTTTTTCTTACATTTGCTTTTTTTGTACATTTTTATGCAGATTAGGCAGGGTTGCTTCTTGGTAAACACAGCTCGTGGAGGACTTGTGGATGAGAAAGCGCTAGCCCAGGCTTTAAAAGATGGCCGGATCCGTGGTGCTGCTTTGGATGTCCATGAGTCTGAACCTTTCAGGTGTGCATTTTTTGTTTTCTAAGCTGATATGTTTAATGTTTCACTCTGATAAACAGTGGCAAAGCATTACTATTCTAACTCAACATCCACCTTTAGCTTTTCTCAGGGACCGTTGAAAGATGCCCCAAATTTGATTTGTACCCCACATACTGCTTGGTACAGTGAGCATGCTTCAATTGAAGCAAGAGAAGAGGCAGCTAAAGAAGTTCGTAGAGCCATTGAAGCAAGAGAAGAGGCAGCTAAAGAAGTTCGTAGACGCAGGTATGTATAAAAAGAAAACATATTTGTGTTATAAAGTAGGCATCATTGTTTAATACTTCTTGTGCTGTATTGCCCTTGAACTTGAATATGGGCTTTGGTTTTCTTTTTTTACAGGTCCAATTCCAGATTGCTTGAGAAATTGTGTAAATAAGGAGTATTTGTTGGCAGCTGCACAGTGGTCAGGAATGGAGACTGTTCATCCAGAGCTTAATGGGGCTGCAGGATATAGGTAAGTGGAGTTCAAGTAGTTGTATAGAAATATTCATGACAGTCGCTATCTCTGTGTTTTAATAATAAATAAAACATGCAAGTTTCAATTGTGCATATGTTATTATGGATTCATTTTTCTTAAACCAATTTTATATACATATCTTAGGGTCACCATTTGTTACAATCTGACTGTATAATCTCTGTGCAATCAACTTTAGATTTACCAAAACTATTTAGTATAATGGCTTTCTTAAAGAACTACTTAGTTGATGGTAGATCTAAAGCAGATTGTACATTCAGACTGTGTGGTGAGCTATAGTTTTTATATGAAGTTTTCTTCAGGTTACCGGCATATGATGAATTTAAGAAACTGGGTCAATTGAACGTTGTGTGAGCAACAATAATAATAATTTTGCTTAAAAGTGGTAGTAATCTGCGAGACAAAAAAAAGTGCCTCTGCACGTTTAGGTTATAATGTACTAGTATGCAGTACGTTATGACAGACTTACCTTTACACGGAGCTCTCCAGCGCAGCATTGTCACAGATCCCCGGCGCTGCCATCTTTACCTGGTCTTCCTTCTGCGTTCGAGGGATCCAGCTGTATGAATGGGCCGGGTGCCGTGATGACGTCACTCTCACCCATACTCGCGGGAGCATTCAGCTACGGCATGAAGGTCTGGCATGATATGCTGTCCCTTCAGAGTGCATGTGCCAGTGTCATCACCATTTTTCTAGGTAAATATGTTTCTAAAGGTGCTTTTGAAATGACATTTTCACCACATGTCGGTAACAACCTATGCCATCCATACATACAAAGAAACCAAAACAAGTTCAGAAATTAGGTTATGTAAAATGTAATGACACAAAAGTATTGAACACATGAAGAAAGGGAGGTGCAAAAAGGCATGGAAAGCCAAGACACCAGCTGAATCTATCGGTAATTAGAATGCAATCCTTCCCCTTGCCAGTGCAAATTAATATCAGCTGGTTTAGTAACAACTGATGGCCTATTAAAATGTCTCATTACCAAGGTGTCACACAAGAAACATCTCATGGTGGGTAAAAGCAAAGAGCTCTCGCAAGACCTTCGCAACCTTATTGCTGCAAAACATACTAATAGCATTGGTTACAGAAGGATTTCTAAATTCTGAATGATCCAGTGAGCAAGATTTCCAACAGAGGAACGAAAAGCTTTATCAGAAGAGTTGTCTAAGAGCCAGTGACCACTTGTGGAGAGCTTCAGAAAGACCTGGAATTGGCAGGTACAGTTGTTTCAAAGAAAATAAGTAATGCATTCAACCGCCATGGCCTGTATGCATGTTGACCACGCAAGACTCCATTGCTGAAGGAAAAGCATGTTGAAGCTTGTTTAACGTTTGCTGCACAACATTTAGACAAGAAATGCTGAATACTGGAAGAATATAGTTTGGTCAGATTGAACTCTTTGGATGCCATAATACACACCATGTTTGGAGGTCAAATGGCATGTACATCACTCCAAAAACACCATACCAACAGTGAAGTTTGGAGGTGGGAACATCATGGTGTGGGGCTGTTTATCAGCATACGGTACTGGAAAACGTTATCCTGTTGAGGTCCGGATGAATCGAAAAATGTATCGAGACATTCTTGATAAAAATCTGCAGCCATCTACCAGGATGATGAAGATGAAACGAGGGTGGGCATTTCAGCAAGACAATGATCCCAAACACAAAGCCAAGGAAACACTCAATTGGCTTCAAAGAAAATAAAGCTGCTAGAATGGCGCAGCCAATTGCCTTACTTGAATCCAATAGAAAATCTATGGAAAGAACTAAAGATCAGAGTTCATAGAAGAGGCCCACAGAACCTTCAAGATTTGACGATTTCTTTGTGTGGAAGAATGGGCCAAAATCCCACCTGAGCAATGCATGTGACTAGTTTCTCCATACAGGAGGCATCTTGAAGCTGTTATTACTAACAAAGGATTTTGTACGAACTAATAAATTTCAGTAGCGTGTGCAATCCTTTTTCCATGTGTCATTCCATTTTATTACACATAACTTAATTTCTGAACTTATTTGTTCTGGTTTCTTTGTATGTATGGATTGCAGGGGTTGTTACCGACGTGGTGAAACTTTCATGTCGATAGCACCTTTTAGAAGTATATTTACCTAGAAAAATAGTGACGTGTTCAATACTTATTTTACCCGTTGTACATACCTCCATGCTGCAGCATCTGTCTGATGCTGCAGCTATCCCCCACCGACTTGAAACACTGAGAACTGGGCAGTCAAATGAATGCTGATCGCTCAGTTCCCGGTCAGTCATCTCTACTCTGCCCCGCCAGTGCTCACTGGACTGGACAAGAGCCAGGAGTGGCTAGCTTTAGCTCTCAGCAATGCACTGAGATTCAGTGTCTGGTCTGGCATCTTGGTGGATCCCTTGCTTGTTTGTGAGGGGGCTGTGTCAAAACATCTCCCTGGACCAGCCAGCAAAGAAGCAACATCACAGGAAAATTTGTGGTCTCTTAATGACCCTGAAACTGGCAAGTTGTTGCTAGTGTGATATGAGTCTAAGGCATTACTATTGACTATTTTTGAGAATTAGTTTTGTGTGCATTTCCTACTGGCATAGTTGCAGCTTCTTTCTTATCCATGGGAATCATATTTTGTTGCTATTTTCATTGCAGGTTTCCCCCAGGAGTTGTTGGCGTAGCTGCCCCAGGACACCCAGCTGCAGTGGAAGGGCTGGTGGCTGCCTCACACCCGTTAATCCCCACTGTTTCTCACACTCCGTCACCTGGACAGACCACCAAACCTGACCCAGACAGAGAGATTCCTACTGACCAGTAGCAATACTGCGCCTAGTTTGGTCTCCTTTATTTTGTTTGTTATGCTTTTTGTTTTTCTTTGTTTTTTTTTTTTTTTTAAACCACCACTCCCATATTTGTGCTCTGTTTCCCCCTCAGTGTAGTATGGGGGTCAAGGGCAGGAATCCAGGTTTTTTCAGCAGCTTTACCCGGTTGATGGAATCAGGCTGCAAGCCCTGAGGTGTATCATCTCTCCTCACACCGGAAAGGAGAATGTTCTTACCAATGTCTGGAAACCTTTAGATAATGCCTTTCAACAGATCTATTTTTTAACTGATTAAGTTTTAAGTGAAATATGATACGGGTGGGTTGTGCTTCTGTGTGCTGGGGTATGCTGATCTCTTCTGCTTCCTCTAGTACAAGACATGCCCGGTTGTCTCAGGGAGCTGAGGCATCACCAAATTTTTTTATTAGTAGTAGGTGTCTGCATGTTAACCCCCTCAGTGCTGGAGGATCTGTAATGAGTTTTTATAGTCTTGCTCTCCTCCTTTATTCAAGGGTTGACTAAGGCAGGAGAGTGTTTATATCATCTTTTATGAGAGGGTTATTCTTCAGCAAAAGGAATTATGTGAAATTAGTTGAATGATTTGCTAAGTTTCTACATTGGGTTCCAATAGTCCTTGTTACCATCTCTGTGTAGAAGAAAACAGTAACTGGATAGCAATTGGTGTTTTAATTGCACACCAGCTGAAAGTCTTATGATTTTTTTAAAATGCTGAGCATGGGCATTCATTCAGTTATTCTTCACCATTAAATATTTTTGATGTACTGAGAGTTCAACAGCATTGGTTCAGGATTTTTCATGCTGGATATTTTGTGTAGAGGTATGATTTCACAGCTGCAGAAGCATTTTTTTTTTTTTTTTGTTTTTTTTAAGAAAATCATCACTGAAGATGGCATGTCATCAGTGTATGTAGGGTTTTTTGTTTTAATTGTACATCTTAAAATTTTTCATTGGTCGCAGGATAATAATGAGTTAATGTGCAAAGCATTTATTTTATTTTGTATAACTGGCTATATGGATGTTGTAGCAGCTTTTTCCTCTAGTCCATACTCATCTAGCTTTGTAGAGGTGGGGATGGGAGTTCTGCTGGAGAAACAAACTGTGCCACTGTCAGTACTATGACTTAGGACTTTTGTTAGGCTTGGGTTACACAGACAAACTAAAAATTAAAAGTATATTTAAACATTAACATTGAATTCCCATCTTTTACTTCTTTTGGGTTTTGTAAATATACAGCTGAAAGTGATTTATCTGTTTGATAATTGCAAAAAAGACCTGTTGATCATGTCCCAAGGAAATATGTTAGGACCACATATCACTTCCCCCCTATAATATGAAGAGGGGAGGATGTTTGTTGTTCTAACAGACTTTCTGACCTAGGGTGATGATGCTGTTCCACCATAGATACATTATAGTGCTGTCACCTCAGGCCCTGGAAGTGTGTTAATGGTAGGGTTGCCAGGTGACAAAAAAAAATGCCTGAATGAAGAAAAACAATACAGCCCCCATATTTTAAGAACTAGCTAGAATATATTATATTTGTTCTTGGTTTTAAATAAGCTTGTTAGTAGTTCCTTTTAATTTGTAGCACACTGAAATCAATGTAATGCCAATGAGGTAACTGACAATAAAGAGCTTTATTTCCATTGTAGCCCTAGCCTTAGGGCCCTTGTTTACCATTGGGCTGCCTTAAAGGTTAAGTTCATCTTTTCTAAAATAATAATAAATGCACATCTTTTTGCAGGTAAAAAAATATATGCATTTATTTATTATTTTAACTTTGCAGCCTGTAAGGCATTGCATCCGCAATCAGCAGATTATGGGTGCAATGCCAGGATCCTGCTAACACTCAGTACAGCTGTATGAACGTACCTCATCTAGGCAGGCAGTTACTGAATGGCAGGAAAAATCAAAGAACTATGAGAGCGCTCACCAGCACCCTTGAAGCTGTCAGCTGTGGCAGCCAATGGTACTTGAAGTTCATTCACAAATGACATGGCCGTGTATGCGGCGCCCTGCATGGCCACGGTGTTGGTTTTTTTTTTTTCCAATTCTGAAAGCAGGCGTAGGGAAAGGATCCACTGCCCACTATCATAGGGAGGGAGGATCGGGGGGAGAGGAGGAGGAAGCTGGAACCTGTTACATTTTCCACGCTAAATACAGGTGGTACATGTAACATGTTCCTGAGATGAACTTGTGTGTTTATGCAACAAACCTGACTAGCGTGAATGGATCCTGGTGAGTAGGATTTTTGTGTGTGAACATTTCTGCAGGGAAGACCATGAAATAGAAATTTTCTTTTTTGGTTCAATGGTAGAGATAAGATGTATTTATTTTAAGTTTTTATTAACTGTGACATTTTTCCATGTATATTTGTAAGTGTGTGTTTAAAGATGTGCAAGTTGTGACCGAAATTGGTGTTCCCCAGTCATTGGTCCATGGGCCACAAATGGCTCCTCAGTCTTTCCAAAATACTAGTCTGAACCTATCCAGCAATGTACACTTCAAAAGCATGAAGGCAAGCAGGTGTTATCAGATTTATGTAATTAAATTAAAATATTAAACTACTTTTACAAAACAGAACTGGTGTTAAACTTGCCAGCACATATAAAGTTGAAATGTGGTTTGGAACATAAACTATCAGTTATAAAACTGTGTTTAAATGGTTTATCCTGCCACCCTATGGAATCTGGGGAATTAATGAAATGTTGATAGTTTGTTTAAATGTATAAGCGCCTGTTAAGGTTTTAACGTTCACCGTACTGAACAGAAATCTTGGTTACATAGATATGGCACCTTTTGATCTGCCATGAAATCTGCATACAGTGTGCTTGTCATTGTTTTTCAGAGACCACAGAAGGGAGGGTCTGTTTTTGACTTAGATTTGGCCATGATTTGGAAGAAAATTGTGTCGTGCTAGCTTCATTCTGTAGATTTCTAGGTGCTTTGCTTGTTTCTCCAGCAGACTTCTATCCACTTTGTGTGTTATGGAGCTTTTGTACTTGCAGATAGTCATATTTCATCAATACACATCTGGGTAATCTGTAAGGTAAAGCTGTGAAAACCACCAAAGAATACCTCTAATGTGTAAACGCCTAAAGTTTTATTTTGACAGGTAAATGAAAAACAAAGACATTGGTATATCATTTCATAATCACTACATCCCACCTATAGCATTCCTGCATTGCCAGTCACTGAGCTGCCTGCTTCTCATTCTACCTAGTGGATGTACAAATCTTTTAACACTATCTTCGTGCAAGATAGATGGTTCATAATGGCCTTCATCTAAAATTCTTCTTTGCAAAAAAAATAGGGTTAGGTTATACAGTAGAATTACAGGATTTTTGTTTGTGTGTGTTCCAGTGGGGGCACATGAAAAACTGTCAGTTTCTTTCTGTTGCTCACTCTGCTTAAAAGAAAAAAAATTTGGCTAATGTTCCACTTTAATTCAAAGTACAGAACAAGTACTATTACAGATCTAAAGTGGCATGAAATAATTACAGAAATGACTAACTGTAAGAATGTACAGTATCTTTTTAGAATTGGATATAAGGGCTTCTGTTGATGGGCAAATGCAGTGTGCTTTCAGGTGTATTCCACTTGCATTTGAGCTCAGTTTTAGATATCTTGTAAGATCATTTCGAGTTCATTGACAGGTGCATTTGACCTGCTTTTTACCTCCTAGCTGCTTTTGCATTCGCTGTGATTCAAATCATAAGAAGCGCATGATGTTTACAACATCCTATAAACACAAGCCTTTCCAATGGCCCAGCTGCCGTGTGTCCCATAATCTTATATGTTATAGCTTTTGAAGACCTCACTTGCACCTTGCCCTCTTTTCTGCAGTCAAGATATGGAGAGGCATTTTTGGAGTTATGCTAGGTACCACAACACAGAATCCCCTTTTCTGTGGCTTAGTTGACCACTAGGGCCAAAGATTTTCAGTATCTGTATCATGTACTATATTTAATTTGCTGTAAACAATTTAGCAATTTCAGGTGATTTACTATCTGTCACATTATTTCAGCCAACTGAAATGCTCTGTAGAAAGTACTTTTCCTTTTTTTAACCTCATGCCACCATTGCAAATAATTTACAATGCAAATTTTAATATTACATAGTAACATCTGAACAATTTTTTTTGGAAACCTGCTACTATTTCCGTTCAACGTTTCTATCAATTTATACCCAAGAACTGTAAGCCAGCACCAGTGCAGTGGGTCTATGGGGATAGGCTGCAGAACCAAGACATTTTATTTTTAAAAAAAAAAACTTCTATATAAAAAAAGCTTTGTGAATCATGCACATATATGTAAAATTCCCCATTCTTTTACAGACTTATAGATGCTGACCAATTTATTTATTATGCAGTTGGATGCAAGCTGTTAAATCTATTTTACTGCAGTATGTTTTGTTGTATTTATTGATAGAAAACTAGCATAAAATTATAAAACCCACCCCTTTTTCTAATTATTTTTTTTTAATGGATTTATATACTGTTCTGCTCATCTGCATGTACTTAGATAATTCTTATTGTTCTTCGTTGGCATTTTAAAATGAGCCTGTGTGTGGGGTCAATCCTGATTATTGGTAGCTGTAGTGGTTCCTTTTACTTAACAAGGACAGTGGGTATCCCTTTTACGTTATATATGAGAAAACAATCAAATTATATTTAGTGATTTTCCTATTCAAGTACTCAAATAAAACGTGTTTTTATTTTTTGTTTGTTTTTTTTGTAAATTATTAACCTGTATGGAAGACACATTTGTGTGTTGAATAAACATTGTCAATTGTGTTCCTATGTACTTAGTACACAGTCTATATTTTCCAGATAATTGAAAAAACAAAATTGCTTGTGTGCCTCCAGTATTTTCTGGATTTTTTTATTAAAAAAAAGCTTGCCTTTCAATATGTTATGATCAGTGTAATGGGAACTGTCAAGCCTTGGCAGCTTGGTAATCTTAGAACTATACCTGACC